CCCAGGGTACGTTCCGGCAGTACCCTGGGGGACAGACCCTATGAGCGTTACTACAGCCGACGCGAGGACCAGACGTAACCGAAGGCGGCCATTGTTTCGCCCTTCTCCGCTTACGATCGCGGCGGGCTAAGTTTAGGACGCCGCTACCGCCGCCGCGATTCAATAAACAAACGCGCAATCCGCGTTAATCTTCTGACGAAGACGGAGAGATATCGCCGTTAGGAACGCGCGCGAGAACGGGTTAGTGTTAGCGCCAAGGCAACGATCTTGCACACGCACGACCTACGTGATTACGCGCGTGAGTCTGTGAACCGGGGCAGCAGAACGCCCCGTTCCAAAAAAGTCAAACAAAATTGGCATCGCGATGGAAATATAGCCGTCGGCGCTCAAGCCGTTCGCAGCGATAACGAATAACAGAACAGCAAAACTGTGAAGGATTGCACACTTCGAGGGAATTGACGTGCGTCGTTTGGAAATCTTATTACGTTTGATGGCATCATTATGGTGAAACTCCACACCTAAACACGTACGACTAAACAACAGAGAACTATAGAGCATTCTCCACGTTGCATTTTACACGAGACGTTTTGCCTTTCTTCTTTCACGCATGCACACATGCTAGCAAATATCACTTCTAGCAAGTTCACTGTTTATAAAAAAAAGTGTTGAGCTGAAAAAATACATAGCATGAATTAAGAAATCAGTAATCTTCATCTTATCTTATCTTTATTTTATCTTTAAACACATCAATGTCAAACGTAATTTCTTTAATATCTACGATTCTTTATTCTCTATTAATTGTCATAATACATAGCATGAAATAATAATAGCATATAAATAATAATAACATAGCATGAATTATGAAATCAGTAATCTTGATCTTATCTTATCTTTATTTTACCTTTAAGTTTAAACACATCAATGTCAAACGTAATTTCTTTAATATCTACAATTCTTTATTCTCTATTAATTGTCCTTATAAAACTTTGGTAATTCAAAAATTAAAATAAATTAAAGTTAGAGTTAATTAGACAACAGAGTGAACAGACTGTACCGACTCCGTTTGTACTCGGATTGAATTATAAGAACAACATAAACGTAAGTGCACAGCAACGCAAAAACAAACACAGATGTACGCAAAAACAACAGCGAAACCAAGCTCAAAAATAGGACCAAACGATCGCAGTCCGTAGATCTAAGTAATAAGCTTCATCAACAAGGAATAACGTACCTGATATGTAGCAACAATATTTTTTAATGGTTTGCCCTAACCGACTCAGTCTCCCATCAGGAAAACCCACGTTGACACGAAATAATTATAGGACTTGATCAATACCGAAAAACAGTCAAAAATGTCAAAACGTTGCAATCGACAATCACAACAGCAACAAAACCTCATCACTTCCGCAACGATTACGGAAAAAAGACGTTTCAAAACGTCGTATCGTGGTCAGATGCTGTAATAAACCCCATAATGTGATTTGGGGCCCAGGGTTTAGGATCGACTCGAGAAAACC